TTTAAACATCTTTAGCACCAAACCAAACTGGGACCTGGTCTCCCCGAGATGTTCCCCACATGCATTTTTAAGGGCAAATGGAGCTTCAAAGAAGACCAATGTTTTTAATGGAAGACCAATAGGGGGTCAAGGTGGGGCAAACGTATCTTTACCTTTCAGTAGGTGAAATCATAAGTGCACACAATCAAAACTTCCCTTGAAAAACCCCTTACATTTATCTAATGGTTTATATAGATAATTCCCCAGAATAATTTTATGCATATTAGCAGAGAAAACCATTGAACTAAGCTGAAGGGAAAAAAAAGAGGAAAGTCTATAGGCAACTCTCAGGATATTCAAACCATTTGACTTTTTTCTTTTTAAGAATTATTTATTTAATTTTATTTATTATTATTACTTTTATTTTTTTTTCATTTGATGAGAGAGAGACAGAGTAGGGGAGAAGCGGGGGTGGGTGAGAAAGCAGCCCCCAGGGAGATGGTCACACTGCAATCTCCATTCTTTTCTTGGAATTTTGGACATGCAAGCATGCCTACATGACCAGTGTGTTTTTCAAGCCACGAGATCCAAGAAACATGTGATCAGTCATGTGAGATCCAGCCACCTTACCCTCCCTGCCACCTGTTGGCCCTAGCCTTCCTTCTTAATACTCCTGAAAATAAGTCTAGCTGTTAATTTTTTTTCTTTCTTTTTTGGAGAGTTTTTTTTTTCTTATTGGGTGTGTGCACTCGCCAGAAAGAGAGAGACAGAGAGAGATAGAAAGCAAGAAATCACCCCCCCCAGAGGGGATAGCCACGCTGCAATCCCTTCTCCTCCGTTCTCCTCTTGGGATCTTGGGCACATGCACACACACGCCCAGCGTGAGTTTTAAGCCACCGGGTCCGGGACTTGAACCGCGGTCGACTACATGGGAATCCAGCAACATAGCCATTACACTAACTGCTGGTCCCTAGCTGTTAATTATTTAAACAGTATAAAGGTATTTTCTTGTGTTTCAATTATTACTTAGATAGTCATATAATACTACTACAAATAATGACATTTTAGCATTAAGAAATTACAAGTGTAATATTTAGCAATTAATGATAGAATTTACTTAGCACTGGAAATTCTTAAAAAATCATTTAAGATTATTTATTGAGTATTATTTTCAAGATGCTTTTCTCAGCTCTGAAGATACAACCACAAGCAAGGGAGAATAAAACCCTTGCCTTTATGAATCACTTCCATAGAAGAGACAATGAGTAAACAAGAAAACAAACAATAACTATGGATTATAGATTGTAGTGCATTGAAGGAAACAGCATCAGAAGTAACATAGGTAACACAGAAGTAGGATAACAGAGAGGGATTCCCAGAGCAGATCTCTGAACTTACACTTGAAGGTGAGAAAGAGCCATCATGTTAATAGCAGAAATAAAGGCTTTTCAAATACAGAGAATGGCAAATCCTTGCAACAGAAGTCCTCCATTGAAGCAGACAATGGACTGGGATGAGAACGAGCAGGGGGTTGGCAGGAGTTAGCTCTTTCAGGGCTTGTAGTAATAGTAAAGAGGTTGGAGGCAGACCAGTGCAATTACATCACTGGACTCTCACATGACCAACTGTGGTTCGAATCCTGGACCTACTGGCTTGAAACTCACACTGGGCATGTGCGCATGGGTGTCCAAGATCCTGGGAGGACAATAAGGAGAAGGGATTACAGCATGGCCATCTCCGTAGAGGGTGACTTCTCACTTTTTCACTGTCTCTTCCATCCTGTCCCAATCCCCTCAAGAGGACATGCCCTAAGGAAGGAAGGAAGGAAGGAAGGAAGGAAGGAAGGAAGGAAGGAAAGAAAGAAAGAAAGAAAGAAAGAAAGAAAGAAAGAAAGAAAGAAAGAAAGGGAGGGAGAGAGAGAGAAAAAGAGAAAGAAAGAGAGTTTGGATACAATTCCAAGACCAATGAGAAACCATTGAAACATATTCAACAGGGGTAAGGTAGGGGAGTGTAATCTGGCTTAGCCTGGGTAATGCTTCTTTTTTGCTAGACACTGTACTGAGTCCTCTTCTTTTACCTCATTTCGTGATCTTAGCACTATTGTCATATAAAAAAAAAAAGCCATGAAAATTTAGTCATTTGCATGATTTAGTTCATAGATTTGAAATTCATTCATCTGACACTTAAGACCAAGTACTGAACCCATAGTGCCTGACCGTAATAACTATATGGCCTAATCAATAACACATTTACATTGCTGATGTCTTCGGCATGTGAATTTTCATTTTTTAAGACAGACTACAATCCAAATTTAATTAATAATATCTTAAAGAATAACAGCATGCTTAATTTAAAAATAAGATTATAGTAGCATAAAGATTCTGAGTTCAAAGACAAGTGAAGTCATTAGAATTCAAGAATCCAGATGTCTGCGAGCACCAAATAGTCTTTATTTCTATAAAGATCATTCATGGAATGAAAGGGAGTAAATTAATAAAAGGCATTTATGGCTCAACCACAGCGGCACTGCAGTAGTGCACTGCTGCATGATGCAGGAAGCCATATGGGAGATCAGAGTTCAGGTCTCAGGTTGGCTTGTGCATACCAGGTGTGTGTGTGTGTGTGTGTGTGTGTGTGTGTGTGTGTGTATGTGTGTATACCCATGATGCTAGCTGGCAGGTGAGGCTCAGGGGAGGATGACAGTTTCATACCATGTTGAGGGGACTTATCTTTCTTTCTCTCTCTTTCTCTTTCTCAAAAGAAATAAATAAACTTGGGCAAAGAAGTGGTGTGGAGGCTAAGGTGCTGGATTCAAAATCCTGAGAGGAGAATGAAAGAGAAAGGATTGTGTCATGGCCATCTCCCCTGGGTGTGATTTTTCACTCTCTCTCTTTCTCTCTCATCTCTCTCTAGTAAGTGCACACATCCTATAGAAAAAAAAATAAAGAAATTGACTTAAAAAGATCATTTAAGACAACACTATGTAAGATGCCTTCAGAAGTTTTAAAAATACATATTATTTGGTCATCAGGAAGGTCATGACATATTTTGTGCTTTTCTTTGTTTTAATTTAGTTTTTAAGAGGTTTTTGTCTAATGGCATGTGCACTTGCCAGAGAAAGAGACAGAGCGAGGGAGAAAGTGAGAAATCACCCCTCAGGGGTGATGGCCACACAGCAGTCCCTTCTCCTCCCAGACTCTCATGCACGCATGCACAGACCTGTGCCTGGGGTGAGTTTCAAGCATCAAGGTCCAGAACTTGAATCATCATTGGTCATGTGGGATTCCAGCAATGTAACCACTATGCCATCTGCTAGCCCCATGTTTTTCCATGCAAAAATGTGTCATGACTTTCCTGACAACCCAATATATTAAATTTTTTTTTAATTTTTGCAGCAAAATAAGCTGTACTTTTATTCTATTTTTCCACTGTTTTGAAGTTTTAAAATCCCTTCATGTAAAAACTCACTATTTGGTGGTAAAACCTTATACAACTTAAGAATAAACAGATCGTTGCTCAGAAAAATGGAACTAAGTTTGACTATCACCTGGAGTGTTTAAATACTTCCAGGTATCTCAGCTTCCCAGGATATTTCTAATCTGACAACCTAGTCCATTAACATCAGGCTCCTCTGATCCTCTGATATCCTACACATGTTGATATTCCCTGCGTAGCCAGATAGTAAGTTCTGGGTGTTGATCCCTCCCTTGACTCTTTAACTATTTTCCTCACTCTTATTCTTATATTGTTCTTTTCCAAAATTATTTATTTCCTTATAATTTATGCCACCATTTCATCCATGAGATATCTCAAAACTCACAGTAGGTGTTGACAAAGAACAAGGAATTAAGGTAACATTATATGACACAAATTACATGTTCCTCATAAAGAATTATGGTAAGTGATCTTATATTGTTTTTAATTATAATAGTAGTGGCAAACATAGAATGCCTACTAAAATGTTGTGCACGCCTCTAAGTGTTTCGTGTATGTTAACTCATTTAATCTTAATAGGTTGTACTATTATTACTTCTATTTTACAGATGTGGAAACTAAAGCAAAAGTAAGTAACTTGCCCCAGCTTCCCAAATAAATAAGTGGTAGAGCTTGGATTGAACTCAGCTGCTAGACTCCAAGTATGTCCACTTAGATACTTCTTTCCATACTGTTTTAGAAAATCTGTGGAGTCATGAAACTCCTGGTCTTTTAATAAATGCTTAAAACTTAACAGAGCACTACTGCACTCTAAAGTCAGGAGTATTAATAGGGATAAGAGGGATAGTTTTCTACCAACCTAAAGTTATTTAAAGACATAAAAATAAATGTTTTAGTACAAATGCATTGAGAACAAGAGATAAGCCCTTTTAAAGGGTTTCTAGAATAGAAATATAACTAATTGAATGCAAATCCACTAAATTACAGGACTTGATGGATACTTTTTCCTAGTATCAACGTGTAAAAATGAAAAAATTCATCACTGACCACCAAAACTGGACCTCTGCTGAAAAAGGCAACATCATCCTACCTGTGTGTTCACTTTCCCAGTGTCATCCACATGTTTGTACTTCCTATACAGGTTCATTGCAGAGTGTTATCACAATTCCCTAGAGGATAAGGAACATAAAGAAATGTAAGAGCTAAACTACAGTAGGCCCTTACTATGTCCTTGTTAGGCCGAGTTAGCATAATCACCGCCATGTTAGGGAATGCTGGGGAAGTTAGCTTAATCACTACCCTGTTGAGTCTTCAGGGACGGAGCCCACTTTGTTAGGGCCTCAAGGACGGGAACCAGGAGTCTGGGAACTCTCAGATAAGTGGGAAACGGGAGGGCCCAGCACCTCCGAGGCAAGGTCATCCAAATCCTTAGCTGAGAGCCCTTATAACTAATTGAATGCAAATCCACTAAATTACAGGACTTGATGGATACTTTTTCCTAGTATCAACGTGTAAAAATGAAAAAATTCATCACTGACCACCAAAACTGGACCTCTGCTGAAAAAGGCAACATCATCCTACCTGTGTGTTCACTTTCCCAGTGTCATCCACATGTTTGTACTTCCTATACAGGTTCATTGCAGAGTGTTATCACAATTCCCTAGAGGATAAGGAACATAAAGAAATGTAAGAGCTAAACTACAGTAGGCCCTTACTATGTCCTAAGGAGCATACCTGCCGTAATGCCATCCAGCTGTCCAGTTGCTTTCTGAGGCCAGCATTGTTTGTGGAGAGAGCTTCTTGACCTTGTCTCCTGTCATCTCCTATCTCCATACTCCTCTACTGACCCCTAAACCCCTCCTTATTTCCCACTTTGATTATTTTCCTTAGTATATAAATATCTTGATTGGAGACCCCCTCAAGGAATCAGAATGAATGTCAGATACCAACCCACCCACCTCTAATTATGCTTCTAATAATAAATAATTTTTCCATATTTAGTACACAAATTAGAAACTCAAGGTTTAATTAGGTTAGGCAAAGTACTGGGTCATCAGAAAATTCATGACATGTTTTTCTGTTTTTCTATGCAAAAATGCATCATGACTTTTCTGATGACCCAATACCACATAATTAAAATGAAGAGCACTTTGAAACTAGAATTACTTCATCAAAACCTTTTATTTTTCTTTTAAAGTAGAAGATATTTAAGACTTATAAGTCTATTGCTCAAAAGAAAATATTTTAGAACAAATCTAGAACCCAAAGTGTGCCCTTCCATAATGGTAAATAGAGGGGGCATGGAAGAGGGATTGCAGGTTCTGATGACCTTTCTTGGTTAATAGGGCCTTGATGTTCAATAATGGCCACAGAACTAGAGCAGGGAAAAGGTGGTTCTATCCCCAGATTTCTAACATTTCTAGAGTGAGCGTTCTTTATGCAAGAGGAAAACATTGTCTTAAATGACCTCAAGCTACCTCTCAGCTCCAGAATTTCATAACCCTTGGAAACAGCTTCTGGGAGAATCAATAAAGGGAAAGATACAAATCCAGTTTAAAATATTTTAGCACTTGTCTTGGAAATACATTGTTAATGAAAGATCAGTTTAAAAAGGGGATGAAGGAGGGAAAGAAAGAAAAGAAAAAAAGCTCTAAGTGTCCTGATGCCAAGGGATCCAGGTGATTTCCTACTTTGGCCCCCCTTTAAGGGTACCCTGTACAAAGGAGCCCAGAGAAGAGCCAGGCCTGGACCATCCTTCAAGCTAATTTGTCTGCTTTTGTTGTTTGTGTTGAGCTTTTCTTCCCCAGCTGGGATTTCTTTGAATTGATTTCACAGGAAGCGCTCCTATTCTTACAAATGTAAGTTGCACCTGCAATCAATAGAGAGGCAAATAGAACTCACCAGGAGAATAATGAAACAGACAGGTTTAGATAGTTAAGTATCAATTCGAAATCATGCTTTACCACAGCAGTTAAAAATAGAGGGCTAAGAAGTAGGCATGGTCTTTGGAGAAGTAGGCAGATATGTATATACCTAGAAAAAGACCTAGTCAGTCACAGAGTGGGACCAGGAGAGAGCAGGCATGGGCTTTTAACATGGCAGAAGAGCACAGTGAGGGCAGTCTCACATCATAAAATATCAAGAGAAGAGTCCCACAATTTATAAAAGACTACCTACATCAATTTAAAGCAGCCTAGCAAAAGAGGTATTAGAATCCCCACTTAATAGAAAAAGAAAACATGGCCTAGGAAAGATGAATTGTTCAAGTCACATAGCTAGGAACTAGAAGCCTCTCCTCTGTACTACCTCCCAAACACCTGGAGTCCTCAACGCCTTCTCTGTGTTTATAGATTTACCACTGAAGCCTCTGTTTTGACTGCAGCGAGGTGTTTGGGATGAGAAAATGTCCCATCGGTACACAACTGAGCATTCCCCTTATGTCAGCATGAACTTGGCTATCATTGCTAGCCTCAGTGCAGACACTATGGTCACACTGACCCACATGCAGTTGATTCTCATCCCTCTCAATAGTGATGACACTCCTGTATGGTAAAGCAAGCAGATAATTCTCCTCTTTTTATAATCTCTTACATCTTGAACTTACCATCAAGTTAATCAAGTGTGAAGTGCATGCTAACTAAACAGGTCTCCCTCTAGTTGTGGCTCGGTGCGAGAGAAATAAGGTCACTGTGTGGGTCAGGATTGGTATTGACATTTAGCTATCATATGGGAGACCTGCATTTTTGCAGCTTTGCCTCACTGCTCAGGAGTAAGCCAAATGTGAAAGAGGAACCAAATCTACTCAAGGAGAGTGAGAAGCCAATAGAAATGTACAAATGGCTGTCATATCAATGAATGCCAACTAGATAGGATCTTAAGTACAGTTTTCTCAGTTTTACCACCAAGAAAGACCTTTTTTTCTTGAATTTCCACGGAGACCTCATGTTTTGAAAGATTTTTATCTACTCAACTTCATTTATTAAGTATATTAATTCATTTGCTAAGATTTCTTCATCAAAGACATAGCTGCCGATCAAAACTTCTAATCATCTTGGGATAACTAATATTTCCACAGTGTGCTAATTATAATTCCAGACTAATACCAAAAAAGCTGATATTTTAATTAGCTTTCCCACACCAAGTGAGTCTTTTTCATTGACTTTTTGCAAATACTGAAAAGAGCTTTCAGTTGTCCTATAGATTCAACGATCAGGGGTTCAGAAACAATGGAGTTCCGTGGCCTATAGAACCAAGTCAAGGACTTTTTAAATGCAATTCTTTAGGACCCTTTGCAGACCTATTGACACACTATTCACATTGCATTGTAATTGTCTTTTTACATACCTAAAACTAGACATTTATTACTTAGCTGCCATCCCTAGTAAAAAGAGCATTTCTACTGAGTTTCTTCCAAACATACAAATTATCCAAGAAGAATTCCATTGAATGTTTTCTCCTTCTCACATCACCAATATCTGTTTCGTTACACACTGATTCAGTTATTTTGACACAAATACAAAGAAATATTATTCAAAGAAATAAAAATGTCCTTTTTCATCTCCCAACCTTATTGACAATAAAACCGGGAAGACATCTACACCTACATAAAATTGTTCATGTGCCCAGTGAATTTTTAATGAATAAAAGATAAAGGGCAAAAGAAGAAAGGTAGGGGAAATATTTTTAAACTTATCAAAATATGAAATTAGCCCAACAAAGAAGAGGAGAAAGCATCCATGCAACCAAAGAGGAACTCAAGTTCAAGATATGCTCATTAACTACACCTGACTGGAGTTTAGAACTTGAGAAGGAAATGGCAAAAGATGATATAGTGTAAGGTGCCAACCACGATAAGAAATTTAGATTTAATCTGAAAGTCACAGAGGGTTGCTGAAGATTTCTCTAGATGTATTTGTGCTTCAGAAAACCATTGTCTCGATAGTGTGAGTGAAGTGTAATGCAGATGTCAGTGGAATTGACCCTGCCTAGCTGCACAATGACAACGCCCTTCTACCTCCAAATCCATGTTCTTCCTCTAGATTTGGGAACGCTCATAATCTCAGTTTGCTAGATGCTTAGAAGAGAGTCACAGTGTGACAAGACCTCTCAGAGGTTCTCTCTCTCTTACATAAAGGAAATAAATGTGTACACTTAAAAAAGAAAAAAGAAAAAAGTCTGTCTTTTGTAATAAAAGTTCATTCCAACTATGAACCTATGGGGATTGAAGGAAAGGTCCTACAGAATTCTGCTAATAACAAGGGACTTTCTGTTTCCCAGTCTGCCCAGTCTCTCTTTCTGGCTCCAAACCAAATAGGAAATCCAGTCCTCTCCTTCGGTTTCAAACACACTTTTCTTTTTTATTTACATCCAATCCTTACTGGTTTGTTTGTCTGTTAGTTTATTTATTTATTTATTTTTGGTTGGTTGTTTTATATATCTGGTTGTTTTCTTTTGTTAACTATACAGAGTGTTTCCTAGGGAAGACATAGAAATGTTTACATCCCCACAGTACAAACTGATGGGAATAGAAGTGTTCTTTTCAGGATGCCCTTTGGCCATTAACTACCTCTTGTTCTTTGCTTTCTCTTTCCCCAAGGCACTGTCATCACTCCCACTCTCCTTGGACTATCCTTAGGAGCTATGGATGACTTTTTCTCTGTCAGACAAAGCCATGAGCCTCCTGCTCTGATGTCAGGTTCCTCTCTTATTCTGATGTCACATTCTGCAAACATCCTGTCCTGGGGCCATTCAGCTGCCCCCAAACAGGCATGCCAAGGCTTATTTCCATAAGTATTTCTTCCTCAGAAGATATTCTCACATCAACTGTTAGAAGAATTATTTAATCTTGTTAAAAATGATTGAAAGTAGGCAAAATTTGCAGTAGAAAAAAAAGTTGTTGCAGAAATACAGGGAAAAATAATAAAAATCTGAAATAGTAGCTGTGCAGATAAAAAAATTGTTTTAAAAGATACTAAGAAGATAGAATCAACAAGTCTTGAAGATTAACTGGACACCAGCTTTGAGAGCAGAGAGATAGTCAAGGGTGACTTTGTTGTCTGTCTCAAGCAGCTGGGACTACCATATAAATGTTAATGACATTCACCAAGATAGACAATTATGGAGGACTATTTTTAGTTGGAGCTCTCTTTTGTCATATATTGAGTTAAGATGTCTGAGAAACATACAGTGAAGATGTCCAGAGGTAATTAGATTTATAGACTGGAACTCCAGAAAAAGATATTTACACATCATCAGAATGTCAGGAAATTTGAAGCCATAGGAATAGATTACAACACCCTGGCCCAGTGTAATATGAGTAAAGAACAGAAGTGACAGTATAACCAGACGTCTACACATAAGAAGTGGAAAGACAAAAAGAAGCCCTTGAAGAGCCCAGAATAGAGGAGAATTGAGAAGGAAATGGGCTTGGTATCCAGGGGAGGAAAGTCCCAGAAAAGGCTGATTTCAGTGTTAATTCATACAGAAAATGAGTACTATGGGACCACAATCCTCCACTGAATTTTTTCTTATTTTGTTGAAGGAAGAAAACCAGTGTAAGACTTGATGTATTTAGAATGAAACAGCTGGTTTATTTATTCTATATTCTAATAAATTAATTGTCTTTAACCCACTTCTCATCACTAATAGGTGATGTGATCT